ACCGCCACGAAATAGAGCCGGAGCCAAGGCTGAAGGTGTAACCCTGTGACGACCGCTGCGTAGCCTGGTCGTCAGCCCAAAAAGCGTTAGCGTGACTTGTGAGGACCACTCGACGTCGCCCTCCAAGAACTAGCCCCATGCCTGACGTACTGCACAAGTAGCGCAACACCCTCTTCGCTGCAGCCATGTGCTCTGGTCTGTGTCTCCCAGGAGCAACATAGCGTGCCAAGATGCTAAGAGGGTATGCAAGGTCAGGTCGTGTGCAGGTCATCAGGTACATGAGGCAGCCAACAAGCTCAGGGTACGAGCCACTCGGCTCTACGGACTCATCCGAAGGCAGAGCTGAGAGCGAGTGGCGAGTAGACAGAGGAGTGGCCTGAGGCGAGGAGTACGTGAAGTCAAAGCGCTGAAGGACCTGCTGCACCATGGGTGAGTGAGTCAGGGTAATGGTGCGCTGTGCTCTGTCCCGGGTGATTTGCAAGCCAAGGTAGCTGCACAGTTCACCCAGGTCTGTGCACGTGTGTCTCTTCTGCAGCTCGGACTTCACGTAGGCGAGTCCAGCAGTGTCAGCTGTGGCAAAGACCAAGTCGTCGACGTACACGAGGATGTAGAACGGCGGCAGAGAAGTGTCGGTGCGTAGAAACAGCGACGGGTCGGCAGTCGAGGGAGCAAACCCAAGAGCCGTAAGCGTAGTCCTCAGTGTGTCGTGCCACTCACGGGGCGCCTAGCGGAGAGTCGTAGACTGGCCGCCGGAGGCTCCTTTGGGTACCAAGAGGAAACGACCCAGTGAAGCCAGGTGGGCGGCGCAGGAAGATCTCCTCGTGCAGGCTGCCCTGAAGGAAAGCTGTGCTGAAGTCACGAGAGTGAAGCTCGTAGTCGCACTGAGCGGCTATGTGCAGCAGCACCCAAAGAGTGGTCATCTTCAGGGTGGGAGAGAAGGTCTGAAAGTAGTCAGCTCCCTGCCGCTAACTGAAGCTCAGCAACTAAGGCAGACGCAGCAGTGGACTCAAAGGAAGGGTCAGTGATGATAGTAGCCAGGAGACGCGTGACAGTAGGACTGGTAGCATGAAGAGAGTCAAACTCCGGGTTAGCAAGAGCAAGAAGAGAGGACTCTGGAGGAGACGGCAAAGGGACACGCTGCGGAGCAGTGGAAGGACGCAGTGCCATCTGATGCGTGCCCAGGACCGCAGAAGGACGCTGACGCGGAACACGACGACTAGTGCGTGCAACACGAATAGGCGACGCAGGACGAGACGCAGGCGCACGACGCTCAGCAAGACCTCCCGTAGGACCAGTGTAGGGAGAAGGAGCAAGCAGTGGGGAGGCGGGCTGTAACTGTGACTGCGACTGGACAGGCGGTGGACAATCAAAAGAAGGAGCAGAACCAGCAGAAGGCGGGAGACCAAGAACTTGCTCAAGGAGCGGAACGAAGTACGGTCGCGGCCGCGCAGTGCCTCTAGAACCATCAGGGACAGCACCAGTATCCCCAGCGGCAGCACCAGTGCCAGCAGCACCTCCAGCTCCGGCAGCGCCAACTCTAGCACCCTCAGAAGCACCAGCGCCAGCAGCACCTCCAGCGCCAACACCCCCAGCAGCTCTAGCTCCAGTAGCTCCAGCAGCACCTACTCTAGCAGTACCGCCAGCTCCAGCACCGCTAGCAGCTCCAGCACCAGGAGCACCCCTAGGCTCAGCAGCTCCAGGACCCCCAGTAGCACCAGCAGCACCTCCACCAGGACTAGCTCCAGCAGCTCCAGCAGCACCCCCAGTCCCAGCAGCTCAAGTACCGCCAGTAAGAGAACCTCCAGGACCTGTGGCTCCAGCACCTCCAGTGCGGACCCCAGGGTCAGCAGCAACACCAACTCTAGTAGTCTCAGCGCCCTCAGCTCCACCTTTAGCAGCACGACGGAAGCTGCGACAGTACCGAGAGTACCACTCACGCAGCTGCTGGGAAGAGAGAGCGCCCCCAGGCGCAGCACCCCCAGGCTCAGGACCTCCAGACTCAGCACCCCCAGGGACAGCACCCCCAGGCGCAGCACCTGCAGTCTCTACACCCCCAAGCTCAGCACCCGCAGTCTCCGCACCCCCAGGCTCAGCACCCCCTGTCTCCGCACCCGCAGTCTCCGCACCCCCAGGCTGAGCACCCCCACTCTCAGTACGCCCAGACCCAGCACCACCAGGCTCAACACGCTCAGTACCTCGCACATGACCAGAGTCGACAGCTACCTCGACAGGCTCGACCCGGTCTACCTGGGAAACACCTGAGGGAGCAGGACCCTGGGGAGGCAGGGGGTCTACCTAGGCAGCACCTCGCGTGAGGAAGAGCGGCGGAGGGGGGAGTAGGGCAGTGCGGTAGGGGAAGAGAAGGTAGAAGGGGACCGACTCGTCAAACGTGACGTTCTGGGAGGACAGAATACGGCGCGAGGTGGGGTGGTAAAACTGCCAACCAGGCGCGTCAGGGGGGAAGCCAAGGAAGACGCAGGGAACAACACGGGTGGACAGCTTGTCTGCAGACAAGTCGCGGACAAAAGCCCGAGATCCCTAGACACAAACGCAGAAGCATTGCCAACCTTCCCCGTCCACCGCAGTGTTGGATGCACGTCATTCTGAGTGCATGTCATCCTAACGTCCTGCCGAGTGCTCTTGCTTTTCATGCGTGCATTGTTTGCATGGGCATATGTCATTATGCCTGGCTGTTGGATATTGTCGTCTCTGTGTTTTTTCTCCAAGTCTAAATGCTTGATCATGTAGGAGAAATCCAGAGCTTTCCAACGATACCAAGATCGCCTTATTCCGACCAAGATCGCCCAAGTTACAAGATTTCCAAGATTTGGATTTCTTATTACCTTTTTGGGGTTATATCTAATTTGGGTGATTACTTGGGACATGACTATAAAGGGATCTTTGGTTGGGTGGTTAGGAAGCCAACTTTGACTTTTGGATTGGGGTGGCTAGAAGTTTCTAGCATGGGTTGCAAATGTTGCAACACCTAGGCAAAATCCAACTAGATTGGATTTTGCATGTGACACCTCAAGGACCTCATGATGAGGGTTGCATCCTTGCTGCTAGGAAGGTTCTTACCATCCTTCCCTAGCTCTTGGAGAACCCCTTCCCTCTCATGGTTCTCTTGGAGGTTCCCCAACTCCAACTTTCTATGCCTACATGCTTGTTCTTCCTCTACCATTCTAGTCATGCGGCTGCTGGACGTTTCTACATGGTTCTCACTCTCTAGACCATCTTAACGATTGATTCAACTTGGAGATGATAGCTAAGCCTAAGGCGCACAATCCTACCGAGCGGATTTGCGTTTAGTTGAGTAATAAGTTCGTCGTAAGTTCTCAAAGTGACAGATCCTGAACAACAAGTGGTATCAGAGCGGGTAGTCGACTTCGAGACGACAAGTCGTCAAGAATTCTCCACCAATGATGTCGAGTGAGACCATTTTCTAGTAGTTCTGCTTGCGAACTTTCGATTGGTGGTCAAACCGCGTTCTAGTTCGAAGTATCTAGTCCGCGACGGTGTTTTTTGTAAAATCGAAATTTCTGGCAGAATTCTCTCCAAACGATTTCTCAAGTTTCCACCGTTCATAAGGCCTCAATATGGTTGGTACGAACTCCAGAGGTGCTAGTGGCGAGTTGGATAGAAGTAGAGAGGGTGGAGAGCAGGGGGGAGTTGCTGGTGGAGGAGTGGGGACTCACCAACCAGCCAACCCTACGCTACCTACGTCTACTATACCATCTCCAACAACCGTGGATCCCGTGAAGGCGTTCTCTATTGAGAAATTCATGGGGGAGGACTACGAGCACTAGAGCTTCCGCATGAGGCTGATGTACACCCAATACAAGCTATTGGATCTGGTGGAAGGAAAGGAGAAGATGCCGGAGGCCGCGGAGCTGAAAGGAGCGTGGATGAAGCGATCGTTCGACGCGTACATGCTCATGGTGCAAGCGGTTGGCGGACGACAACTTGACCACATCAAGGACCTCTTGGGTGATCCAGAGTGTGGCCCCAAGGCTTGGAGGAAGCTTCTGGATGTGCACTCACCGACACATGCTAACGGCATCGTGCTACTCGCGCGGCGGCTGCGCGACATCAAGTTCGTTGATGGAGAGCCGATGCAGCCGGTGTTGGATGAGATGCGGGACATCTTCACGAAGCTCCAAGGAGGCGGTGTGGTGTACCCGGAGCTCGTGCAATGCGTGGAGATCGTGATACGGCTGCCGGAGTCGTGGTCTGCCCTAGCAATCAACCTCAACTCCCAACAACCCCAATGGAGCGTGGATTACATTCGCGCGCGCATCTTAGAGGAGGACTTGCGGCGGCGGAGTGTCGAGCGCTCGGAGGAGGGGGCTGGCTATGGAGTTGGAGGTGGAAAGAGTGGCTTCAAGAAGAAATGGAAGGGCAAAAACAAGGACAACCCTAAGGAGGATGGCGGCGGGGGTCAAGGGGAGGTGTGCTTCTACTGCAAGAAGCGCGGACATCGTTGGCGGAAGTGCTACCAACGACCCAAGGATTGGACCCCGCCTTCATCGAGCAACCTGCATAGTGGCAAGAGGAGTGGGGGAGTCATGAGAGCTAGTGGTGAGGAGAAGGAGGAGGAGAAAGGCGGCAAATCTGAGGAGTGGAAGGCCGGGTTCTTCTTTTTCGTGAACGAAGGCGCAACCGACCCCGCTATGGCTGCCAAGGTTCTCCTACACCCCCTCACCCATTGGGTGATTGACTCGGGAAGCTCCTGGCACATGACTCCTCGTACGGACCTACTCGATGAGATTCAGCCCGCACCTATCTCTACGGTCACATCTGCGACGGGCGCCAAATCCGTGGCTTGGGACCACATCAAACCCGTCATATCGCTAATGAACTTGTATTTCAGACGAGTGGTGGGACAAGTTCACATGGAACACCCTCACACACATACGGTGCAACCCTAAATCACACTGTTATGTTAAAAAATGATCTTTTTGCCATCAAATACACAAAACAAGCATGCAGCCCTTCCTGTTTTAGAAATACACCTCGCCGCTCCCCTCTGTCTTCTCCGCCAATCCACCCTCACCAGCAGGAGAAGCAGCAGAATCACCTGTTGCCACTCCACCAGGACGCATCTCATCAGCCACCCTCCCCTCCACTGCGTCAGCTCCAGTTACTGCTCCAATCGCACCCCCAACTTCCACCACACCCCCCTCTCCTCCAAAGGAGCTATCCCCTTCCTTCACTCCTCCAACCTTGACTGTGTTTCCCTCCTCCTGTGTTCCCCTGCCCTCCCCGTCCCCACTACTCGCCCTACCCTCTCCATCTCCTTCCAAAGAACGACGTCTCCCTCTCTCCAATGCCTCCCCTTCCTCTTCCTCCTCTTCCTCCTCCCCACTCTCATACCCTTCATCCTCACCCTCCTCTATGGTCCCCACCAACCCCCCTTCACTCCCACCACCAACACCCTCTCCTCCACACCCGATCACCCACTCAGCAACCTTCCCTGTCCCATCCCCACTCTCCGCAGCACTCTCCCCCCCACTCCTCCCCCTCCCCTTCCCCCGTCTGTGCTGTTTCTTCCCCTGAGCCCCCTTCACTTCATCCCGCATGGCTGCCAGCCTGGCAAGGGCGGCATCCACGTCATCAACAGCAGAGAGGCCGTCAAACAGCAGCGAGTCATCTGCCAGCACCGTCTCTTGCTGCAGCAGCCGCTGCAAAGAACGCTTTGCCGCCCGGCACTGGGCGGCAAGCGACACCACAGCTTCGTCCTGTGTGGGCAGTAGAGGGAAAGGGAGGGAGGCGAGAGAAATGTGAAACGGCAGGCGGGGAGGCGAGGGGAAGAGGAGAAGATGATGAGAATCAGTGTCCTGGTTATCAGCGACGGAGAGGCCATCAAACAGCAGCGAGTCATCTGCCAGCAAGGTGAGGGAAAGAGAGAGGGAGGGAGGGAGGGAAGCGAGGGGAAGAGGGAGCAACACGAAAAGCAGCGTTAAAAGGTCTAGATGAGCAGAAGCATGGGGACTGTGGTACAGGAGGGAGAAAGTCATCTGGCAGCATTGCATCTGCAGCAACAGCCGCTGCAACCGCTGCCTTAGCACCCCGCATTGGGCTGTGAGGGACATCGCCAAAGGTTTTTCAGGCGCCTCAGAAGACAGTATTATGGTTTTACTCAGGGCCTTATGTTCTGACACCCGGCTGTCATGGATATTCGAGTTTCTTTTGTGGGTCGACTCGTGGAGGTATTTTGAGATGAACAAAAAATATCCTTTCATATTCTGAGCCAAGGTCATTCCAGCGCCAGGCCAACAAAACCCTCTCTCCCCACCAACTCCCTCCCAGAGACTTTTTAATCTACAAATGACCCGCACAACAGTCATCTTTCCAACCACCCCGCCACATCACTCACCCTACGAGCCTCAATTTCAGGAGCTGATCTGAAAAAAGAATAGTGAGCAGGTCTGCAGTGTTTCTAGTCATAGTAACAATTCCCCTTGAAGACCTCTCAAACCACAACTCACCTTGAGAGCTTCAGTTGCAGGCGCTGACATGAGCATGGTAGTGAGCAGGTCTGCAGTGTTTCTAGTCATAGTAACGATTTCCCTTGAAGACCTCTCAAACCACAACTCACCTTGAGAGCTTCAGTTGCAGGCGCTGATGTGAGCATGGTAGTGAGCAGGTCTGCAGTGTTTCTAGTCATAGTAACGATTTCCCATGAAGACCTCTCAAACCACAACTCACCTTGAGAGCTTCAGTTGCAGGCGCTGATGTGAGCATGGTAGTGAGCAGGTCTGCAGCGTTTCTTGCCATTGCAAAAGTTGTCTTAGGATCCGCCTCTGCCTCTCCTGCACCCATCCACGCTGCCTCCTCCGCCCCCTCCCGCTGCCGCTGATGGTGATTGTGATGATGATGATGATGGTGCTGCCTGTGTGCGTGGTCATTTCTCCCTCCAGCTGCAGCACCAGCAGCAGCACCAGCAGCACCAGCAGCAGCACCAGCAGCACCAGCAGTGCCGCCACCGCCACCAGGCATGACGAACCTCACGTGCGGTGTGGTCCGCCGACCCTGGGCGTTAGGTCCGGTGAGGAAGTCCGCAGGCATGGCAACGACCTCCCGGTGCTGGTTCGGCAGCTCGGAGGGAGGTCTGGTGATGTGAATACGCCCTGCTCCTCTATAAGAGTCTCCGAGAACGGACTCGAAGGGGAGGAGCCGGGGGATGCGCTGAGGGGGTGCAGTGACCACAGGGAATGTCACCCCTTTCTCCTTGAGCTCCTGGTAATGGTGATGAAAAAGGGTAGGGGAGAAAAGGAGTGTTTTAAGTCGACTCACAACACACGTGCGCTGAGGGGGTGTAGCGACCACGGGGAATGTCACCCCTTTCCCCTTGAGCTCCTGATGATAGTGTTGAAAAAACTGGGGTGGGGGCAGGGGCGCGGGTGAATGGAAGAGGCAAATATGACCCTTTTCTCCTTGATTTGCAGCCTGCGGGGAGGGGGAAGAGAAGGGGGAGCGAGACAGGAAGAAAGGCAGGTCTATCTTTTGCCTTGGATTGAAGTTGCTGGTAATCATGTGGAGGTTTGAAAGGGAGAAAAAAAAAGGTGATAAAAGGAAGGAGGAATGAGGAAGGTGATAGCAGAATGGCTTGCATCTATGGCTTGACAGCACATGTTCCATGTGGGAGCACGGATGGTCATGGCAGCATGAATGGTCATGGCAGCATGGATGGTCATGGTAGCATGGATGGTCATGGTAGCATGGATGGTCATGGCAGCATGGATGGTCATGGTAGCATGGATGGTCATGGTAGCATGGATGGTCATGGTAGCATGGATGGTCATGGTAGCATGGATGGTCAAGGGAGCATGGATGGTCATGGTAGCATGGATGGTCATGGTAGCATGGATGGTCATGGTAGCATGGGTGGCAGCATGGCAGCATGGGTGGCTGGCAGAGGGGAGTGAGGATCAGGTGCACTTGAATAAGGCCAGGGACAATCGCCACCCGCAAGACTGGCAGCCAATGCTGGTGTTACAAAGTGTAAATAAAGATTACTATGTACACAAGACAAATCACAAGGACCCATTCAACAGACCTTTAGTACCTAATGAACTGCCAAAGAACGCTCTAGCTCATATGCACTTGCGCTGGCGTCGTTTCAGAGTAACCCCAAAAAGGCATGACGGCTCAGCATCCAATCCAGTCACTTCATGGCGTTTCCTTCCTCAGGGAATCCAGTGCTCGGGTGTGCTGCCCGTTCCACTGAACCCATGACCCCTTAATCCTCAAATCAACAAACAACGGATTTCACAGCTTAAGCTTCCTTCCTATCCCCTCCTCTGCTCAAAACCATTCCCCCAAAGGGGGTAATGGCACATTAAGCAGCAACTGCAAGGGTGTGGCGTGCTAAGCTATGGAGTCAACTCAGTGCAGTGGGGTTAGCAGCAGCACATCAACGCTGCGAGAGCATCGCATTGCTGCAAGGAGAACAACAAGAAAGGCACAAATGGCCATTGTTTGCATGGCGCTTGAGTGAAATGACATCTCAATTCAATTTCGTCTAGTTTTATCTCCTCACTGACTTTTGATACGTCTCACGAATTGTTTGCATGGTGCTAGAGTAAATGTTGGTGTCTCTAATTCAGTTTCTATCTAGTTGTTTCACCACATTTCCCCGACACCACATCTAGTTTTTTGTCTTGTCTTCACCACACTCCGTTTACCATAAACATCACCTGGTGGTGTAGATACCAGCCTTTATTTTCCAGCCCCACCCCTCTTCCCCCTTCTTTTCCCGTCCTGCGCTCACATGAATACCTTTCTGATGCAAATGTTGCTGTTATACCCCCTTTCCCTGTCTCTCCCACCAACCCCCCCGCCCAAGTCTTCCCCTCATCCCCCAGACCACCCGCCACTCACCCTAAACGTCTCTTCGAACGCGGGGAAGTACCGCGTCGCCTCCATGGGCGCAGCCCCCATTCCCCATCCCCACCCCGCCCCACCCGCCACTGACCCCCATCCCCCATTCCCCCACCCCCACCCCTACCCCCACACCACCCGCCACTCACCCTAAACGTCTCTTCGAAAGCGGGGAAGTACCGCGTCGCCTCCATCGGCGCAGCCCACGCCTCGATCAGTCTTAAAACATTCTCCCTGACGCGCGCCTGCGTCTTAGGCTCCACCGCCATTCGCGCCATGTCGCCTAACACGCCTTCCCGCGCAATGTCCCCCAGAATCTGCGGCGCGCTTCCGACAACCGACTCCGCGACCGCCAGCGCGAGCAGCTGCACGTGCGAATCCCGCGTCGCCAGGCGACGTCGCAGGGCCCGTGCGACGTCGCCGCCGGGAACATGGCCGTTCTGAAGGAGGTGGGAGATTTGCAGGACGGTGGACCAATGGGGAGCGAGCAGCTCCTCCGCCGTGGCGCGGTCTACTAATATATCCGCCTGTGTGGTCGGCAGAACTAGGTCTTTAACGCGCTCGCCGACAACGGAAACCTGTTCCTCCAATCGGCTTCCGACAGCTGTCGCGGCCTCCGTGACGCGCTTCCCCAGCTCCGCGCTCGACGCGCGCACGCGCTGCCCGACAGCCGCAAGCTTTCCGCGCCAATCGCCGCCAAATGCGGCGGCGGAGTCCCCGGGACGACTGTACGCCGCCGCGGCTCGTGAGGAATCTAGATCGGACGGTGATAAGCTCTGCTGACGAGCATCCAGCTCTTGCTGCTGTTGCTGTTCGTGTTCTTCGTCACGGCTCGTCTGGTGTGCGCCTAACAGCGGCACTTCATAATCCATCTCAACTGACCTAATGCTTCAATCCAAAAAGGCGAGAGAACCAGTGAAGAGAACAAGTAGAAACGGTCGTAAAGAGATTCGAATGATGAATTCGAACGAGTTAGTGCGAGTATTTTATATATGGAGAGTGGCAAGGCCGTGGGGTACACGGCATGGATTAGAGAGTGAAGGGACAAAGGAGAGAAAGTGGACTCGCTCACGGTGTGGGGGGGGGGGGGGGGGGGAAGGGAGCAAGCAAGCGACAGACCGCGTGAGCGAGCGATCGCGGCGACAACCAAGCCACCAACCAAGCGACGACACCTTCCAAGGGCTGTGCGAAAGAGCGACGTTGCTGAATCTGCTTCCGACTGCTGCTGACTCGTCGAGGGTCATTTCGTTTGCGACTGTTGGCAGCTTCGTTCGGCAAGCCCGAGAGTGGAAAGGGGGAACTCAAGAGGGGTGTGGTGAAAAGAACGCGGATGTTGGTATTTAGGGCGACGTTAGGTTGTACAACTTTTTGTAAGCCCTCTCCGGTAAATTTCGTTTTCAACACGGTGAAGAGAGGTAATCGTCCAGAACTGCTTTTCACCGTGCTGGATCTTCTTGAACCACGATACATGAACTGTAAGCGCGTGTGAAATGTAAAACCTGACATCGCCCTTACCACATTGAAAACGTAAGTAACCAGATTGTACCTTTCAGTGTGTACTGCTTGGTTCCTTCGCACACGCAACTCCCTCGCGAGGTTGAAGATGGGAAGAAGGGGTGGACTTTCTGGGCTTGACGAGGTTGAACGAGCTAGTCTTGACGACCGAGCACGGTCTTACAAATTTGGGTTTCGGGCTTGTCGAATCGAGCTCTGTCGTCAGCGAATACTACCCTCGACGACCCAGTGAGTCATCTCCTGGCTGCAGCAACTCGCTGAAGCGATATGGTAAGAGAAGGGGAGAATATGTGACAAGTAACCAAAATGGGACTCTGATAACGTGAATGATAAACAAGGCTCTACGCTTACACGTCGGAAGGGTTGCGTTGCGTAGAGTGTCAGAAATTCTCTTATAACGTTCAACACATCCATATGAAGAGTTACTCACCTATGAAACAAAAGGCATAACAATGTTAAAATGAAATACAGTACTTCGATCTTTAATAGACGGGATATTATCAACCACCATACGTCACAACTGGAATATTTTTTTTAAAGTTGAGAAAATAATTGATTTTTGATTGGCAGTATGATATGTTGTGTGGGTATAATAAAATGTGCAAACAAAAGGATACACCAAGATGACCAATAGTGGGTAACGAATCGATGACTAGATAAGAATGGCACATATCTATATCATTTAATTATCAACAATCAAACTAGCAACAGATTGGAACTTGTAGCAAGAGGAACAAACTTACACTACAGAAAATATTTTGCTGATTTGGGTGAACAGTATTATCTGACAAAGTTTGAAGAAAGAAGGAGGGTTGAACTAGCAGAAATGGGGATACAAATAGCAAACCCTAGAAGGGTTGTACTCGCTATAGAGCACCCCACTACAGGCTAGAACATAAGATAATATTCTGACACACCCCCATAGCCAAAGTGGGGTGTAATCAACAGAGCAGGCAAATCAGTACAAGCTCAGGGTGGATCACAATGTCACCACACAATCTGAGCACAAGTTCATGAAGAAATAGTTTAGAGTTCACAATTATGAGCAAAGCTAGTGGTAGTCACAACGGGCAAGTGAGGAGGAGGAGAGAGAGTGAGGGGAGAGGAGATAGGAGGCGACGGCTGAAGCTGCAGACACGCGGGCAACAGGAGGCAGACTGGCACAGCGGCTACCGGACAGCGCCCGGACTACAGGAGTAACAGGCCCCGCGGCTCAAGTAGCGGCAGACGGGCAACAGACCCACGGGCGGCTGGTGTAGAAGTCTAGCTCACTGGGCTACCGGGACAGCGCCCCGGACTACAGGTGCTGCGGACAACAGTACGGCAACCTCCATGCAGCTTCCCCAAACAGTCCCACCCCCCCGACACGCACCCGCTGCTACACCGCTAGCTCCACTCCCACGCACCCCCCTTAAACCCTAAACCCCAGTCTCCCACACAACCACCCCCCTCAGCGACAGCTGCAGCAGTGGGAGACGAAGGAGGAGGAGGAGCAAAGGGAGGAAGGCACACCGGCCACCCCCATACCCGACACCCCACAGCTCGCAAGCGGCCCCCTCAGGTCGCCACGACAAACGACGGGAAATGGGGGGGGGGAGGAGGGGGGGGGGGGGGGGGGGGGGGGGGGGGGGCGCGAAGTGGGGCGGCGGGGCCACGACGGGTCGGTGGCGGGGCCGCGACGGGTCGGTGGCGGGGCCACGACCGGAGTTGGCGGGGCCGCGACCGGAATTGGCGGGGCCGCGACCGGAGTTGGCGGGGCCGCGACCGGAGTTGGCGGGGCCGCGACCGAAGGCGGCTGGGCCGCGACGCGAGGCGGCAGGGCCGCGACCGGAGGTGGCGGGGCCGCGACGGGTCTGTGGCGGGGCCGCGACCGAAGGTGGCGGGGTCGCGATCGGAGTAGGGCGGCGGGGCCGCGACGGGTCCCCGTCGCCCGTCGCGACGCCTCCAGAGCGGGACGCGGCGAACGCCGCGAGGCAGACGCCCGCCGCGCGCCTCGGGGCGCACAGCGGGCAGAGAACCGCCGCGCGCCTCGGGGCGCACGGCGGGCAGAAAACCGCCGCGCGCCTCGGGGCGCACGGCGGGAGGAAAAAGTAGCAGCGGAAGCGAGGTGGTAACCCACCCACAGGATCGATCCAAGGGGATCGACCTGCTCTGATACCATGACAAAGTTTGAAGAAAGAAGGAGGGTTGAACTAGCAGAAATGGGGATACAAATAGCAAACCATAGAAGGGTTGTACTCGCTATAGAGCACCCCACTACAGGCTAGAGCATAAGATAATATTCTGACATTATCACCCAGCTGGCTAGGGTTTTGTTGCCCTCCCACCCAACCGCTCCTCCCTATGTTGCCCTCGAGGCTTTCTCTCACGCCCTTTCCAACTTTCGCGATATCAATCAAGAAAGTCAACTACCTCAGGTACTAACGAATGCTACCTTGTTAGTGTCTAAGCTGCGCGCCTAGAGCGCTTGTCCTCCCTCGTGCATTACGCAATAGCATATAATAGAGCACTCGGCCTTGTGCGTAAGTCGCTGGCGCCGTTGGGCGCGCGCGCCGTTGGCGCTGGCGCCTTTGGGCGCAGGCGCTGGCGCCTTTGCGCGCTGGTGCTTGTGCCTTTGGGCGCTGGCGCTGGTGCCTTTGGGCGCTGGCGCTGGCGCCTTTACGCGCTGGCGCTGGCGCATGGCGCTGTGGGCGCTGTCGCAAGCGCTGGCGCCTTTGCGCGCTGGTGCTTGCGCCTTTCGGCGCTGGCGTCTTTGCGCGCTGGTGCTTGCGCGTTTGGGCGTTGGCGCTGGTGCGTTTGGGCGCTGGCGCTGACTCCTTTGCGCGCTGGCGCTGGCGCATGGCGCCGTGGGCGCTGGCGCTGGCGTGGCGCATTTTGGCGCCGTGGGCGCTGGCGCTGGCGCTGGCGCTTTTGCGCGCTAGTGCTTGCGCGTTTGGGTGCTGGCGCTGGCGCCTTTGCGCGCTGGCGCTGGCGCCTTTGCGCGCTGGCGCTGGCGCATGGCGCCGTGGGCGCTGGCGCTGGCGCCTTTGCGCGCTGGTGCTTGCGCCTTTGGGCGCTGGCGCCTTTGCGCGCTGGTGCTTGCGCGTTTGGGCGCTGGCGCTGGCGCCTTTGCGCGCTGGCGCTGGCGCCTTTGCGCGCTGGCGCTGGCGCATGGCGCCGTGGGCGCTGGCGCTGGCGCTTTTGCGCGCTGGCGCTGGCGCCGTGGGCGCTGTCGCCGTCTGCACTGGCAGCGTGGGCGATGACGCTGTGGGCGCTTAGAACCTAGGGCGATGTCCCTAGAGCGCTCGTGCCTAAGGCGCTGCGGCGTAGGCCGATGGCGCCTTGGGTGTTCTCTAGCGCCAAGCCCGCCGGCCTTGCATTCGTTGGTTTGGCACTATGCGGTTTCCCTCGCATTCTAGTGCAAAGCGCGAAATCGTCGTATGCACATGCCTTGCATTTGTTGATATCACGCGCACATGCTCATAACTATCACCCTCCCCTTTCCCGCCCGTTCCCGACACTCGCCGTCCAGAGATTTCACATGCGAGGGCTCTTATCGGCGGCGGAAGCAGCAACGCTGGGTGCGAGCATCGTCGGCACAGGTGAGCGAAAAGGGTTAGAGGAGTGGAGATAGCGAGAGGGAGAGAAATAGGGTGAATGGTGAGTAAGAGAGAGGGAGAGTTAGAGAAAGAGCGATAGAGAGAGAAGGAAAGGGCAGGGGTTGGTTGAGTTTTAGAGAAGTACGGATGCTGAGATCTGTAAGAAAAGAATGTTTGCGCATTGTGACCTATTGTGAGTGGCTTCTAGGATGCTTGGCTGAAACACGCTTTCGTAGTGTGATGCACTTGCGTTTTGTGAGCTAGCGCCACCTGCTTGTTGGTGTTTAGTGCGCTTACTGTGAAATTCGAAACCTATGGCTTTGCTGTAGCCTGGTGCCGTGGGCACAGGAGCCCTGTGCCCTTGCGCCATTGGCGCGGACCCCGTGGGCGCTGGATCCTTAGGCGTTTGGCTTAGGGCGCTGGGGCCTTGGGCTTGAGCGCCATGAGTGCTGGCCCCAAAGGCGCTTGCGCCGTTGGCGCGGGCGCCGTAGGTGTTAGCGCTCAACGCCCTTGCCCTTATGGCGCGAGCGCCTTGAATACTACCCCCTAAGGCGCTTATGTCGCTTGCGATTAGGGCTCTGCACCGTGTGCGCTTGTGCTTAGGGCGTGAGTGGGTGTGAGTGGTTGCAAGGGCGAGTCGAGAGTGTGCGAGAGGGTGAGTGCGGGTGTGAATCTAGGTGCTTGTGTGGGTGTGAGTGCGAGAGTGAGATGCGCGCGAGGGTGAGTGCAGTTGTGGGCGGAAGGGCGAGTGCGAGGTTGAATTAGAGAGCAAGCGCATG